CCGCAGACACGCAGCCTGCAACTCTGAGCAGCGCACCCCCGCACGGGGGTCCACACGCGGACAGCGTGGCGCGGGGCTGTGCTCGCCTGGGGCACTGTCCATCTGAACCACAGGTCACGGCAGGTGCTGGGTTTACTTGGCTTCTCTGGGACAGGGCATGTACGTATGTTATTGACACAGTGAGCACCAAGCCTTGTCTTCCTTCCCGTTTAGCCCGCGATACCCGATCTCACTGATATGCTGGCTGCACCGGTGAGTGACGTGGCGCTTAGCGTGTGAATGTCCATCCCACAGCCACTCAAAGCCACACGACTCAAGTCCGTGTTCTGCTATTTGGCTGAAGGAATGGAGCTCCCTGCTTCCCGGCCGGGACCTGCCACACACACTCCCTCAGCCGCTAGCTGGGGAACGTCAACTAAGACCCCGAACACCTTTCCAGCCAAACCCAGATCATCTGCACCCGAGAATGAGGCCGCGTCACAGCAGCAGGAACAGCCTGTGCGAGGCCGCCTGTCTCGTCGCCCGTGGGACTGGGGACAAGTTTCATTTTTGCAACTAAAAGTACAGATACTTAAACCTGAAAATTCTAAAGTTTCTAAAATAGATTTTAGAACATAGTTCAGTGTAGCAATATTTCTAAAAACCCCAACAACTTTATGCAGGACTCTGAAAAGACCGTTTAGAGCGTGAAATCGAAAAGGAAGCTAAGAATAAAGCCACAGACAGACCAGACGGTCGGGGGGCACTCACATTTCTGCAGGAGCTCAGCCCGCAGCGTGGCGCTCTTCGGTTTCCTCTTGAGCTGGAAGTGCTTCACCGGGGGGGTGAGGGGGCCGGCGAGGGTCGTCAGGGCGCTTTTATTCAAGTACCGGCACTCGAGAGGCAGCATGGCGGACGCCTCGCACTCGGTCACTGTCCGTCCAGAAGCAGCACAGTGAGGAGGGGCTCCCTACCCGCCTCCTAGACCCTGGAGCAGGTGCCCGCCGGGCCAGCGCGGGGCTTCAGCCTGTCTGCCCCGAGTTAGTGCACAGGGGCTGGGAGCCACCGCGGTCAGGCCGTGGCCCACAGCGCACACGGCTCCCTCGTTAAGGGGCCGCCAGCTCTAATTCTCCAAACGCGGAGGGACGGAGCGGCTCTCCTTTCCGTGCCCTTTCAGACACTGTCATTTCTAACAGTTCCCGGCTCCTGTTCTGAACAACTGAACTGCTGATGCTTCCAACACCACTTCTGCGCATCTATCTGCTCTGTGCCAGGCACTGTTCTAGGCACTGGCGACACCCCCTGAACAGGCAGTGCACGCGCCTCATGGGCTGCGGGGGTGGGGGTGGGGGGCGTGTGAACAGGAAGAGAAGTAAGTTTGCGAACAAGCAAGTGCAGGCGGGGAGGCTACGGGTATAGGCTCGTCTCATGGTCGTGAGGACCCGAGGCAGCGTGAGGGCGGTGGGTGCACACAGCGCTCTCCTGCGCAGGACGCGGCCCAGGAAGCCCTCAGAGACCAGATGCGTTTTCAAAAAGACGTTTCCTCCCGGGAAGCCTGCTGCCCTCCTCCCAGCACAAACCAAACGGGCAACATACCCTTCTCTCGAAGTTCTCCCAGAATATCCTGAACGTTGGGGTTCTGCTCTTCAAGATCAAGGTTAAGCGAGCCCGTGTCGGGAAAGGACTTGAGAATGTCGGCGACCATGAGCACCCAGGGGTCCGAGTCCAGGGTGGCCAGCTGGATGATCTCCGCCAGGGCGCCTTTCATCTGCGGGAGGAGAGGGCGTCCTCAGTGGCCCCCGCCCTCCGGGGAGCCCGCCCCACTGCCCTGAGCAGTGCGTGCAGGAGGAGCAGAGCACCAGGTGCGGCCACCATCCTTTGTTTCTAAACACAGAGGGGCCCCTTCAAACTCCCGGTAGCTTCTGGGGGCCCTAGGGCAGCGTCCAGCCTCTCCAGCACCCGCCCCCTGCCAGGCCCACCCTCGCAGGAACCACGGCCCCCTTCCTCCTGCCCCCCAGCCTCCACCAGGCTGCAGTGCCCACTCAGATCTAGTGCTCCCACCGCCTGGTGGCCGCTCTCCTGCGGGGCAGCCCCAGCGCCCCAGCCTCCCACAGCAGCACCAGGCTCCTCGTGCGCGGCCACCCCTGGAAGCTGACGGCATCTCCAAGGAGCTCGCACGTCTGTCTGCGGCCTGTGAGTGCGTGTTGCTGAGAATCACACCAGGAGCCACACCGTTTCGGGAGCCTGCTGATGAGGCTGCTGGGTGTGGCGAGCTGGGCCCAGGTGGTGAGGACGGGAGCGGCGGCGGGCAGGCGGCCCTGGCACACTCCCCAGGCCCGGGTCACTCCTGGGAGGGCAGGGAAGGCGTGTGGCGTGCTCACTGGCTGTGACCCACACGCCCCGCATCTGGGGAGGCCTCCCCAGGGCACAGAGGTCACTGTGGGCCTGGAGTCAGCAGGCGCTGGGATTCAGGACAGAAGGCGCCCACGCTAGCAGGAGCCTCAGGAGCAGCCCGGCCCTGCACTCCCCTGGGACAGCACAGGAGATCCTGGGGGCCAGCACGCCAGAGCCCCGGGGTAACACGGGGCTGGGCCCCGTCCCCTCCATGCCCGGAGGCCGGGTTCTCCCCCAGCGCCACTCTGCCCACCCGGAGCCCCTCCCCACCAAAGCGTCAGCACGTGGGTGGAAACACCCCGTGCTCCCCAGCTGACGAGTGGCTGGTGACGACAGCGGTGGGTCAATGAGTGGGACACCCCTCGTCATGAAGAGGATGAAGCACCACCCACCGGATATACCGCGCCGCTACCGAAGCCAGTCACCCAAGGCCACAGACCACGATTCCACGTAGGAAACGCCCAGACCCGGGGAATCCAGACCCAGAGAACAGAAGAGCGGGCGCCGAGGGCTGGGAGGTGGGGAGCCGGCTGATTGGCACGGGTTTATCTGGGGCTGACGGCAATGTTCTAACATTGATTAGGATGACACACACTAACCACCAACTCAAGTGGACCTAGTAAAGGGTGCGCGGTATGGCACGTGCGTTACATATCTCAACAGAGTTGTTAAAACTCACTCATGATGAAAATAAAATTTTTAAATTCTAGGGATAGAATTTTCATCAGCAGATAAAAGGTACCTACAAACAGCAACAGGAAGCACTGGCTCGCTAGTGCAGAGAGAAAGCCTCCCTGTGACCAGGAGGAGACAATATACTGGGGGGTCCTGGTGACTGGCTGGGGGGGGAGTAACTGGGAAGAGACCGGCACAGAAAGGACAGGAAGAGAAGGTTCTGCAGGGAGATCATGGCAACTAGTAAGACGTCAGCACAGACGCCATCACAAACTCACCTAAGACACGCCTGTAACATGCCTATGACATGAAAAAACATGGGGCATCTAGAAATCGACCTCACACAGCGGCATGAGAAGCGGGTGGGGGTGCGGCTCCTTCGCTCCGAGTCCCGGCCGGAGGGGACTGCTTGGGAGGCCGGGAAGGCAGCGGAGAGAAACCCTGTGGACCAGCCGCCGGACCGGCACCGCCGGAAACGGACCGGCTCAGAGCTCCCCGAGCGTGGGGGGCAGGCAGCTGCCTGGGAGGGGCCTCGCCACCAGCGGCTCCCGGTGGATCCCGCCTCAGAGGAAACTCGTCTTTGGTTCCTTAGTTCAGTCCCTCCGGCTGCAGAGGAGCAGCGGGGCATGTTTTAGGGGAGAATGAAGACTCTACAGCAATGTGTTCTGGTCCGTGGAGGCGGCGGCCCAGTGGTCTGAGGCCTCCATTCCGGCTGCTGGTGGGGCCCGCGTCTTCCCATGGGCCCGTGTGTGTTATCAGGGCCCAGAGAGAAGAAGGGGAATCAGTGTCTGATGGTTTGACCAACAGACCAAGGCGAGTGCCGGGCTGTGCCTCGTGTGCCCGCGGAGATGCCAGCTGTGAGTCTGGGGGTTTCTGTTCCCGCCGAGGCTCGGCTCCAGCTCAGGGGTCTCTCCAGGCCCCGCCCCCTCCGGTAAACACATGTCCGCTCTCTGCCCGCTTCTTCATCGTCACTCTTAACCGCTGCCCAGCGCTCCCTCCTCGGGAGTCGGCGGCCCTGCCCTCCCTCCGTCTCCTCCGGGG